TAATTACGGATTTCACCTCAAAATGAAGCCGAAATACGATCGTACGTAAAGCCTTTAAAATGAGAAATCTAACTATTAAATCAAACTATTAAAGATATACTTCCCAGCCAGCATTGTCAAACCTTCGACGTTCAAAAAACGTTATCAAATAAAACGTTATCAAAACCTTTACGAAAGTACGAAAAAAAGACGTTTTTTGAACGTCGAAGGTCTGACAATGCTGGCTGGGAAGTATATCTGTAATAGCTTGATTTAATAGTTAGATTTATCATTTTTAATATTTAATTTATATTTTAAAGTTTTTTTTTTAATTGAAATGTACAAATTAATAACTTTTGTTTTAAAAATTGACAATTTTTAAAAATTTTTGGGTCCGGTCAAATACATTATTTAAAATACATTATTATACTAGACTATATACTATAAGAAATGTTGTAAAGATCCCATTTATGCTTTTTTCGCGCTGATTTCTTGATGTTTTTAAACGAAATAAAAGCACTTCGCCGTTATTTCAAATTTATTGTTATTTCATTTGAACTGCTAAAATTATAGTCGAATATTGTTTAAAAGTGTATTTGTCTATATTAAATAAGAAATAAGGATAAATAAATACAACACGATTTATTTAATAATCTTTTTTATGTTAGTCCATGTAAAAATAATAAACGCACTTTTTAAAACGTTTAGAAATTTATGCCTACGCAATTACTAGAACGAGCACAAAATTAATCATTAATAATCTTATTTTTATATCAATGACTTTTTTACTATCTTAAATTGCATTGAGCAGTTTAGGTATGTTTAAAGTTTTACAACTTTATATTAGTATACATTTATTTTGATGAACATATAAATAAAAATGACTAAACTTATTTTATTTTAGTAACATGATTTTTATTATCAAGAAAAATATTTTATTAATTTTTTATTTTTTCAAGTGTAAAAAATATTTGAAAAGCATTATGAATTGCATATTAAAAAATCTTGTGAACAGACTTCATGACATTTTAGACTATAAAAAAAGTATTTCTTTTCATTTGGATTCAGGCGAACGTGATAGCGAAGCTAGTGCATCTCAATCCATTTTGTTTGAAATATTTGAGGAAGAGTCCAAATTACAAACTATCCAAATATACAAAACTTATCAGGCTCAAGGTTAAAACTAGATGCATCAGATGATGTGTGGATGAACTCTTTTACAGAACTCGAAGGGCTTGTTAACTATTATAGATAATATGGTGTTTAACAAAATAGGAAGGTCAGTAAAAGTCCATCGACAAGACGACGAATTAATACTGCTAAACAATAGAAACAATGAAATGTTTAACATCTATCATGAAAAGTAAAATTGGAATGGAAAGTTAAATAAAAAAAGCTTGTCAATAAGAATTGTACTTGGTAAGTGTATTATCACAGATAGTTTATTAAATTTACAACTTTTTTATTTTGAATTAGAAGATTTTTAAAACATAAAAACTACGCATTCGCACATTAGTCTAATAAAAACGTGAGATACCAATCAACATCTTGAATTATACATTAAAGTATAAAAGTACTTTTGTTCTATTTAAATACAAGTTTTTGTTCCGGCAACATTTTTTCGTTTTAATAATGTTATACGTCAAAGTTATTCCAGGTCAATATCGCTTATTTTATCCTAAAACTATGAAAGTATGCAGCCGTTAATGCAGCTGTGGCGCAGTGCTTAGAGTTGGCTCAGAACCATTAGATCCGAAGTTAGACGCCGGCTCTAGCCAAATTAGTGTTGTGACCAAAACTAAAAATTGTAACTAACTAAACTAAAAATACCGTAACTAAAAATAGTTGACTAACTTTTTAGTTAACTAAAATCAGTCGACTAACTTTTTAGTTAACTAAAATTACCCGACTAACTTTTTAGTTAACTAAAATTACCCGACTAACTTTTTAGTTAACTAAAATCAGTCGACTAACTTTTTAGTTAACTAAAATTACCCGACTAACTTTTTAGTTAACTAAAATTACCCGACTAACTTTCTAGTTAACTAAAATTACCCGACTAACTTTCTAGTTAACTCAAATTACCCGACTAACTTTTTAGTTAACTAAATATACGCGACTTTGTTTTTAGTCCAACTAAAGAATTTTGTAAATATATAATATAAATAATTTGGGTTCATGATATCATTTCTATTAGAATTTTTGAATAAGATTGCGAATGCATAATCATTTTATCGCATAATACCGCAAAAATAAAAAAATATCAAAAAAATTTTCATTCAATTTTCAGTTCCAAAGGTTTAGTATTAGTGTATCAAGATACTTCCAGAAAATATTATAAACAAGATACTTCAAGAAAATTTTTCATAAAAAATCCAAAAAGTAAACATGGTAAAATACAAATATCTACAGAATTGAATAAGCTACCAAGGCCAGCGCAAAGGGGTGTAAAGATGGGTTGGTTGGTTTCGTGTGTGACATCCCATCAATGAACTTTTTAGCTCATTTAGTAAGCCAATTTGACTTTTTTAGATAAGTAAGTTGGCAAATGTAGATTTTCACAACAGTCACTTGGTAAATTTAAAAAAAACAAGAATTTTTTTTTCCTTTTTCTATTTAGTAAAATTTTAACGGCACTCTCTACGTGTTACCTACTTGTGCCGGACCTGTAAGCTACAGTATATTACAATAGTTCGGTTTTATTATGTGCCACTTTTTTGAATCCAAATTATAAAAGTTTTCAATTCTTTGAAAAGTACAAGGAAAAAAAAATTTTAAATGCGTTAAAGAATTTTTGTCGAAGTTTCATTAAACAAAAAAAGTTTGTGATATAATTTCATTTAAAAAGGTGACAAACAAATCAAAAAAATTTAAGTTATCATTTGCAATGAAGATGATATTTCCGGAAACGATAGTGACAAAATAATAAGTTTAGATTTAAAAAGAGAAATTAGTGGTTATATAAAATTGTCAGTAAATGAGCAAAATGTTTTTACACTTTTGGTATCAAAATTAACATGTATTTCCAATAATGTATTGTATTTCAACAATGATTTTATGTACGCCTGCTACCAGTGCACTAAGTGAACACCTTTTCTCTGACGCATTAAACACTTTGTAAGCAAAGCGAAACAGAATGAAAACTGAATGTTATCAAATGTTGATGTTTTTGTCCAAAAATTTGGAATTTTATAATTTAGTTTAAATTCATTAAATTTAATACTGAAGTTTTTTCTTGTAATAAATATTTTTTAATATATTTTATTGTTCTAAAAGAAATATTAATTTTAGTATTCGAACTCTTTTGTGTAAAACTGATTTTTTTTTTGATACAAAAAATTAAAAAATTAATATAGTTTTTTAAATTTAAATGTGTTTAAAAAAAAAGATAAAGAAAAAATTGAAAATTAAAAAAATTAATGTGTGATTTTAATGTTCTTGAGCGTGCGGTTTTATTATAATGTTGCCTAAAACAACAAACTTTTTTACCTTTATTATTTTAATAGTTTGATTTTTTTCTTTAATATTTACTTATATATTCTTTAGTATTTTTTTAAACATCTATCTAAAAAATCCGACAAAACCGACAGAACCGACAGAATGTTGTAACCCTGAGTAGGTCCCCATACTCACGTCGGTAGGGCCTTGGCAGGAGAGATTATTTTGATGTGCGATTGTTATTGCACACTACCTATAGGAAGCAGCACATAAAAAATATAAGTTAAACGTTCAATAAGCGTACCAAATTTGATTTAATTGACTAAAGGGCATTATTTGTATATTCCATGCTGACTGGGTGTTTATAAACAGTTGCAACAACTTCATAAGCAGTTGTCTCAGAGCTTGGAAAAAATAAAAATAATCGAATTTTGCTTAAAACATTTCTTTTGAATAACAGTTTAGTTCGAGTGGGCTCCAAGATTCACAATTAGTAAAGTGTTTAATTACGATAAAATAATATTTATCGCCTTAATAATGCTTCCTCGTGTGTAAAATTTTTATGCGAAAGATCATTTCTTTTTTCAAGCACTAAATCATGCTTTAATCGACTAAATTTAGTTACACTAAATATTTAGTCGACTAATTTGAGTTAACTAAAAAGTTAGTCGACTAATTTTAGTTAGCTAAAAAGTTAGTCGGGTAATTTTAGTTAGCTAGAAAGTTAGTCGGGAAAGCTAGTCGAAATTTAGTTAAGCATTTTTAGTTAGACTAAAACTAATCTTAACTCCCACCCCTAAACCAAACAAGTGGCATTAGTATAGAAGATGGCGTGGACTTTCTAGTTAAATGTTCTTCCGCGGTCACACTGTGATAAAATCATTTATCACAGTGATTTTATCACAGTCCTTAGACTGTGATAAAATCATAAGGACTTTTTGGAGCACCTTAACAACAACAAAAAAGAAAAGAAAAAAAAAATGAAAAAAAAGAAAGTAAAATGTAGAATTAAATTTTTTTTTTCTTATTATTAGATCTTACTATTAAAAACGATGATCTAATTTTAAACTTAATTTAGTTACATTTTAACTAAATAAACCGGCAAGGAATACAAAAAGTTTTTTTAAAGGTTAAAAGTAATCTCAAAGACTGTTACCACATAGGCCATGATTTTTTAGATACATTGATACATTTTCACCGATATTTAAGCCTGCATGGGGTATATAGTAAAGCTTACATTGGGCTCATTCTAAAAATTCTCTTAGTTCTAAAATTAAAATTTGCATTGGGTTGTTATTATATACCCAGCGGGCACAGACGTCAATCAAACGTCTTACGGACGTCTTAACTAGGTCGCGACGTCTTAGACCAAATTAGGACGTCCTAAAGACGTCTGGTAAAGACGTCTTTGCTAGGACGTCCTTGTGACGTTAATATAAAGACGATATCAGGACTTCAATATTTAGACGTCCTATTGATGTCGCTAAGACCTACATTAGACGTCCTAATTACCTTAGAAATAATAAGAAAAATTAATACTATCAACTTGGCGCATACAATATTATGCGCTAACTCGGTTAATTAAATGTCTACTGATTATTTTAAGACTATTATTTTGTTTAGTTATTTATTGTTTAAAGATATTTTTTAATTTTCTATATTCTATACTCTATGATCTATAAACTCTAATCGATACAATATTTAAATAAAAGAGTAACTAAGTTACATGTATAATGAGGGAATTTTAACAAAAGACATCAAAATTGCACCAAGACTTTTCACTTTGTGTATTATACACGGCTGTTTCAAGGTGGACTTACGGCTTCTTGTTATTTTTTCAAAATAATTAGTTAAGGGGTGTTACTAAAACTTGCATAACTTTTGAAATATTTAAGATAATTTCGTTCTGTAAAAAGAATATGAACACCAATTAAATGTTTTATGCTTTAACATTTAATGAAATATTCAAAGACCGCTTTGATTTTCGAATAAATGCGATAAACGACGAACTTGGCTAAATTTTGTTATTTTTATGGTACTTTTTAGCAAAAATAATCGGAAAATTTTTATTTATGTTGAGTTATATGTAATATAAACATAGTTAGACCAATTTTAAAACATATAAACTCTATTTACACCAAATGTGAACTGATACAGGCACTACAATTAGCGGGAAAAAAAAATACCCAAAAAATATATTTTTTTTTAAAAAAAACTTTTTTTTTTTTAAAAATTAAAAAAAAAAATTTTATTTGTTTTTGATTTCGGTCGTATAATTTCTTTACACTTAGAATAATATTAATACTTTTCTGTAGAAAAATAACACATCATTTTTTTTATAAATATACATAACAATAAAGGCAATTAAATAAACTTGTTTTTGTGGATTGTCATAAATATATTTTTTTAAGTTAATATATGGTATATGTTATATAAGTAGTAAATGATATTTGTACATGCAATTGATATTAGTTTTATTTCCATTCCGTAACGAAAATACTCTTCATAATCTTGCTGAATTTCTTATGTTATTCTAAAGTTCCGCGTAATTTTTTTTACTTTTTACCTCCAAAATTTGTCTCGCCGAAACAGTTATTTCAATAAAATTCGTTAGTAAATAGCTTGGTAAGTAACGCAATAAAGTTACGTCATCGCTTAGAAATGTTAACACAAGTTTAAGCGTAAAATTTGTTGTAAAACATGCCAAGTTTAAAAGCATATTCCTTAACATAGCAAGAGGTACATAAAATAATTTTTATATTTTCCTCTACATAAAAGGTCGAAATACGTCATCCATCAAAAAATTAATGTTTTACATTTAAAAAAAATAAAGTTAAAAATATAAATGCATTAAAAATTGAGTTATAGTGATAAAATCACACGGATGACGTAGGAATCTGATAGAATAGACATTCAATGATAAGTGTTCTAAATTTCAACCATCAACCATGTAGCTATGTTAGGGAATCTTGGTTGGCACAAGACAGGTTTTCCGTAAAAATCGCCAAAAACAGAAAAGTCATCCAAAATCATTTAAAATATTTTAACAATGTTTATTTTTATTTCGCTTAAGGTAAATATTTATTTAACGAAGAAAGATAATTCTTGTAAATTTTTCAACTCGAAGATTAAAACGTTTATAGAAAAAAAAAACCATTACTTTAAAGTTATTGAATTTTTATACTTTATATGCCGAAATTTTTAAAAAACTTTTTATGCGGAAATTGTTTTGCTAAACTAAACTGTAAGGCCCAATTTTACATTGCGTGAAACAGCCGTGACCTATTTATTATATATATATATATATATATATATATATATATATATATATATATATATATATATATATATATATATATATATATATATATATATATATATATATATATATATATATATATATATATATATATATATATATATATATATATATATATATATACATATATATATTTGTGTGTGTGTGTGTGTTTGTGCATGTGTGTGTGTATTGATAAATGTTGTATACTATTCGAAATACATCTCTAAAAGGAAAAAAAAATTATTCTACTATCGCTTTGATTCTGCTGAGTATCGGATATTTGCTGTTGCAACACTAAATTTGTATTTTTTATAATGCTTTTATATTTTTTAATAATACGACAGATTATTGTCAAAAAAGGCATAAAACTTTAAGTTCCTTTACAAAGATGTATTTCTGCATTTAAATTATTATTAAATGTATATATATATATATATATATATATATATATATATATATATATATATATATATATATATATATATATATATATATAAAAATTATGTTAGTGTATTCTCCAAACAGAGTGATGTCTGCAATTGCAATGCTCTTAAAGAACAGAGCAATTGAGGTTGCGTAGTCATAGAGTTGGAATTGCGACATTGAAAGTGAGTCAAAGTTGCTGAACAAATTCGCGACTCCGACTCTAATAGTAAAACTTCTCTGTATTGCATGTGCATGTTCAAATTATTTAATTTTCAAAGAACTTTTCATATATTTGGAAAATAAGATTTTTTAATCATTGCATAATATTGTTTTGAAGAATTCAAAGAAATATTCAAAAAATTAGCTTTGGAGTTGGAATTGGAGTCAGAGTTATTCTCTGTAATATATATATATATATATATATATATATATATATATATATATATATATATATATATATATATATATATATATATATATATATATATATATATATATATATATGTATATATATTTATATATATCTGAGTGTGTGTGTGTATTTATATATATCTGAGTGTGTGTGTGTATGTGTGTGTGCGTTTGTGTATAGGTAGCAATTATTTACAGTTTTTGGTGTTAGACAAAAACCTTATAATTTTCTTGAATTTTACTTGTTTCTATATTTTTTGAAGGTTAAGCATGAAACTTGAGATTTTTTGCATTATTCCGTTTAAATCTACCTCTTTTCAGCCATATGCAGGAAGTACTATTTACTATTTTATATACTATTTATATGGCTTCACTTATATATTTTACTTTTCAGAGTTTTAGAAAAAAAATTTATTCCAACTTGCTGAAATGAAAAAAATTTTAGCTGATAGAACTGCACTGTTCTCTAATAATCCAGAAGAAGGTTTTAAACAACGTAAAAGTTCAAATAAATTTAATGTTTTGAAAAAAAAATTCGCAAATAGAGATATCCAATACATCACTTTTGTATACATGAGTTTCATCTTTATATTTTATATGTTTTATATTATTACAATATTTATTTTAAATTGTCATAAACATTTTCAATGTTTCTAATACATTGTTTCTTTTTAGGTAAAACAGTTATCATTAATTGGGGCTAAAATCTAGCTGATACAATTAAAAATATTTTGCTCTTGTAAATAATTAGCAAAAGTTTGAATTTTAACATTTATGATTGACAGTACAGCATTTATCTTCTTTTTTATATATGTAGACTGCCAACAGACACTATTTTGTCAGAATACCGCATGAATTGTCTAAAGAAGAAAAAAAAGTTTAAAGAGTTGACAAGTCTATGTTACGCTGTCACTGGTATTCTTATTAGCTTATTAATTAAAAATTAAAAATGATCTTTTAATTAAAAAAAAAAAATTTAATTTTTTTGGCTATGGAACATGACATGTATTCAAGTGTATGTATACATGACATGTATTTTTTTTAATGATTTTTTTGAAACATGTTTTGTTGTTTTTTATTAGAAGCTGCTTTAAAGTCAAATAAAAACTAGATGCCATCCAACTTATTGGGAAATTAGGCATTCTTCTGACCGAATAAAGAGAACATCCACTAATATGGATTTCGATCTATGATGGCTTAATTAACTGTTGTATTTTATTTTTTTTCTATTTTTAAGCAATTTTCTTCTATTCATAATGCACTATCAATTATATTCTACAGTACCTATTAGTTTTTAATTTGAAAAATGTAACTTTGTTTGAAAAATTTTTCTTATTTTTTGTAAAGTTATTAATTTATTTTAAATATATCAAATTACATTTTATTTACATTGATTTCTTTTTATTAGAGAGCCTATATACTCAGAGAGCGGACATACGTGTGATCGTTTTTGATTGGTTGTTCGATTTTTATGATTTTAGTCGCCATCTTTTTGCCAAAAATACTAACTGCGATTAAAGTCTACTACTAAATTTGTATTAAATATTTGTAAAAGTATGCCTGGTTGTGCTGCAGTAGGCTGCCATAACAGGCCTGAGAAAGGATTTATTATGAAATGCTTCCCAAGAAATGAAAAACAACGGGCGATTTGGACATCTAAAGTTAAACGACTTAACTGGGTACCTACAAACACAAGCTTTTTATGTGAAGTAAGCATAAGAAAATACAGTTTTATGTAATTAATCCTAGAAATGAGTTATTTTAGAATCCATACAAATACATTATATTCTTTCAATTTTTTTATTAAGGTACACTTTGATGCTGATCAATGGGAAAAAAACATAAGATGGATCAAGAAAACTCAAACATAATGCAATTCCTACTGTCTTTAAACATGTTAGAGCAAAACATAAGCGAAAAAATCCACTCGAGCGTTTTCCAATACCAAAAAAAAAGAAAATAAGTTGTATAGAATGAGAAGAAGTTGTAGAAAATATTTTAATTGAAGTAAATAACAATGAACTATCTGAAGTTTGCACAACTGAGGTTGATAAAAGTTTACTTATACAAGACTTAAATGCGAAATTGGAGAGATTAGAAAAAAAAGTCATTAATCGAAAAAAAAAAATTAACATTTTAAAATCGAAAGCAAGAATAAATACTATTCAAAAATATAATCATATAAAGAGAGATAAATTTAGAGTTTTGAAAACAATATTTAAAGAAGATCAAATTTTATCCTTAAGTAGAAAAAAATATGAAATTCATTAAATGGTCAAATGATACTATAAATGAAGCGTTAGAACTCAAATTTACATGTGGTCAAAGTGGTTATAAAACTTTACTTCGTTTAAACTTACCATACCCATCATTACATACCCTACGACGAAGATTAGAAAATCTAAAATTTCAAAGTGGCATTCTAACAGAAGTCTTTGAGTTTATGAAAACTAAGGTGAATGCCATGAAAATCCATGAAAAAGAATGTGTTTTAATTCTTGATGAAATGTCAATAACTGAAAGTGTTGACTATGACACATCTACAAGCTCTTACTATGGAGTTGTTACATTACCTGAACATTATGGCCAAGCTAACCATGCTTTAGTTTTTATGCTTGGAGGAATATCTACAAGATGGAAACAAACTGTTGCATATTATTATACTGGAAGTTCTGTTTTAAAAAACATTGTCCTATCTATAATAAAGTATACTGAAGAAATAGGATTAAAAGTTAATAGTGTTACTTCTGATATGGATGCCATTAACCAGGCAATGTGGAAATGTTTTAATATTTTTTAGCTGTACTAAAAGTGGCAGTATTTCTAGTTCAATTTAACACCCATGTGACCCTACTCGTACAATTGATTTTTTAGCAGACGTACCACATTTATTAAAGAATATAAGTACATCTCTTTTATGTAACAAACATTTTATAATAACAGCTAAGATTCAAGAAAAATATAAAGTTCAATCGCCAATTATAGATTTAAAACACCTTAACAAGCTTGTAGACTTTCAAGAAGGTATGGATTTGAAGTCTGCTTACAAGCTTACATCTGAACATCTTGATGAAAAACATTTCAACAAAATGAAAGTATCAAGAGCAACATCTGTAATGAATCATGATGTAAGTTGTGGGTTAAAATTTATTGCAAGTGAAATAAAAGATGATTCTATTCTCACAACTGCTCGGTTTATAGGAATTGTTGATAAATGGTTTCCATTAATGACTTCACGAAACCCAGGTATGGCTCTTAGCTTGAAAAATGACAAAGTTTACAATGAAACAATAACTTTTTTAAATGAAGTCATAGAGATATTCAATGGTTTAAAAATATTAGGCCAAACTGAAAAAATAAGTTGGAAACCTATTCAATCTGGTGTTATATTATCAACAACATCAGTTATTAACTTGCAAAATAAGTTTCTTCTAGAAAAAAAGTTTGATTTTCTAATGACATCACGATTTACGCAGGATTGCCTGGAGAATCTTTTTTCCCTGGTACGTGCAAAACAAGTAATTCCTACTGCTCTTCAATTTAAAAATAACTTGAAACTTATTTGCGTTGCCCAATTCTTGAAAAAATCATCAAAAGGCAGTTATGATATAGATGACCGTCAATTCTTATCTGGTTTTCTTGATATAGTTAATAGTAATGTGCATAAACCACAGCAAAGAGAGTGCATTTTTTTACCTAAAGATTGGGATAAAACCTCTAACTTAATCTTAAGTAATGCTGAGCAAAATTGTTTGTTTCATATTGCAGGTTATATAATTTCTAGAGTTAAAAAAATTTAAAAAGTTTGCATAATTTGTTTTGAATCTCTAGTTTCTAAAAATAGAGTTAATGCTGATTACACAAAGTTTGTTACAGACAAAGAGCACAAAGTGGGTAGTTTATTTTTTGCTAATGAAACAACATTTGCATTCTTTTTACAAATGGAGTTAATATTCAGATCATTTGAGCCATACCTTAATTCCCAAAAGAATTGTAATACTATGCTTTTAGAGAAAGTTAATTCTGATGAACAAATTAAAAGTCTAACTTTGTATCCTAGTTGTCATCAAATTAAATTGAAGCTAAAAAACAGGTTTATAACATTCAGACTTAAAATATTTAACCTTAAAAAAAAGCGTTTATTATGTAAAAAGAAAAAAACTAAAAAAAGTTCTTGTGAACTTGGCAGCAAGAGTATGACAATGCATGCATTTGCACTAAAGGTTTAGGTTCAACTAATTTATAAAATAAACTGTAAAGCTTTTTTCAAATTACTTATTGATTACAACTACTTTTTTGCTGTGTTTTTTTTTAAAGGTATTTCCTAAATAAATAAATAATTTTGTCGAAAAATAATTTTGAAAAAATAAAACATAAAAAGGTTTAATTTTTAAAAATATATTTCTGTTTAAAATATTATTGTGCTCATTTTCTTTCAATTGTTTTTACTTGAATTCGTGAATGTCATACGCTAGTTTGGCAAAAACATGGCCGCCGTTCTTCCGTATTTTCCGTATGTCCGATTAAGGCAAATCTAAGGTTTCCCTTGCCTAGATTAAGGTTTGTGTTGTAAATCATTGCGTTTTTATATACTTTTTAAAAGAATGTCTTGGTAAAATTCAAACGTCTCTAGGACGTCTGAAAAAGACGTCCTTAAGTCTTTAAAATTAGACCAGCCAGAGATGTCTCTAGAACGTTAAAAAATGTCTCTAGGACGACTTAAAAAGACGTCTTTAGGACGTCTGGAATAAACGTTCTCAAGCCTTTCATTTGAGACCAACTAAGGATGTCCTACGGACGAGACTTAAGACGTCTTACGGACGTCCTTAGGACGTCAAAATGCCCGCTGGGATTTTTAAGGTAATATAAAATTATTTTTAATTTTTCATACATAATTTTTTTCATTTAACAAGAAAAAAAAGCTTTAGTTTTAAAGATAAGTTTCATTCTGCATCTTGTCTAGTCTACCTCATTACAAAGGTATTCAATAATCCACCACATTGCTTAAGCCTTCTTTAAAAAGTAATCTAACCAAAAGGGTGTTTTTCCGAATTCAACTGATATTGATTTAACTTAAATTTTAAAATGTCAAGATAGATTCTTTAACAAAAAGGAAAAAGAAAAAAACATATTAGTTAGACTATATTATTATTTTACAGTTGTTACGGTTATAGAACTCATCTAGATATATTAATTGCTTAACCGTCCTCTTTAACAATAGCAACTTATTAGAAAGAGATTGTCTTTCAAATCTACTCTCCGTAATTTTTTTTTTTCTTTTTTCTTTACTTATTTTGCTCATTAACAAAAGTAATCAAATTACATATATACATGAAAAAAAAAATATGTCCGTAGAACGAAGAAAACAATCTTGTCAACAAGCACCGTTTTTGTTTATACAATGTAAAATAAAAACTTTTTTATTTACAATGATTTTTTATAAAATAAAGAATTAAACAGACAGGGGTTTAAAGAAGGTGAAGACGATAATACTTAATCGTAATCTTTTCAAGGAGCCCCTGTATACAATAGAATATAGGTATTATATTATTAACCCTATTGGGCATAAAATGGCTGTGCTGATCAGTAAATCAAATAAAGATAAAAAAAAACTGAAAAAATAGAATCAAATAACTTCAGAGTTATTCAAGCACAAATGTCGTATCTGTAAAATCAAATTTTTTGATGTTACAGATACGACACTTTCGTTTCGTTTTCACAAAGTTCGTTCCCCCTGCTTTAAAAATAAGAGCAAAGAGATAATAAATTATAAATTTTAGCATACTAATCTAAATTTAATTTCATTGAAAAGTTTCCTATAATAAATTTTAATGTTCAAAACTATGACCATTCAAAATTCCATCCCTCCCCAAAATGAAGTTGTAAATTTCACATGGACATAAGATTTGAACAAGAAAAAATCATTAAATGAAATTAAACCTGATCTAAACCCAAAGTTGATCCAATGTAAATAACCCAACGTTGATTCAATGTAAATGGATTAAGGTTTATCCAATGTATATAACTCAATATTGGTTTTTACACATTTTATCAACCTTGATCCATATACAATGCAAATGAATGAAGGTTAATAAAATGTTTACAAACTAACGTTGCTAGTCAAAAATTATACAATCTTATATAAACATCAAGCAAAACAAACATGAATAATATTTGCAAAATTGATTTATAAATTTAATTATTTATGTGCCGTTTTATATATATATATATATATATATATATATATATATATATATATATATATATATATATATATATATATATATATATACATAGAGAAAAAACAAACAATTTCATGGAACTATAAGTTTCTTGTATTTCTTTTTTATTGACACCATTGCTAATTTATATATTAATATTCATCTATATATATATATATATATATATATATATATATATATATATATATATATATATATATATATATATATATATATATATATATATATATATATATATAGCATAAAATATCATTTATAAAGATATTTAAAGAATGGAACCAAGGATAGAATTAAGGGGCTCCTCGATGCCAATATCCAAAAAGAAAAGATGACTCAATAAAAATTATTTGTTTACGATTACTAATAAAAAGTAAAAGTAGTTTAAGAGAAACCATCTTACTTATTGCTATAAGTAGATCATATAGAATAAAGTCGAACAATTTAGAAAGATACATTAATAACGTTTTAACGATTTCTCCGTTGCTAATACATTCATAACACTTATTGAGTAAAACACCAAGTCCATTCTGAGTACTTTAACCTATTCGAAAACCAAACAAAAAATGTTGAACACGGGCTCCATAAATATTAAAATCTACTCAATAAAATTATTTCAAAAACTTTAGAGAAAGCTGGTAACTTGTAGGATAATAATTTGACTAATCCGTTTATTATACGTCTTTTAAAAACACAGCATAAATCTGCCACTTTTAAAAACTGTGTTAATGTTCTGAGATGAAATTATTTATGCAACTTGTAAACAAGGGTGGATCCATAGAATGGGGGGGGGATGCGGAAATTGCCCCCCTTTTCCCTCTTAGAAAGTTTTGAAATTTTTTATTTTATTAAGTTTATATATTAAATACAGCAAGTTGTTTGAAAACGAAATAATATAGTTAGGTTGTCTCATAGCCTACTATATTATACGGCCGTATATGTTACATTTTAGAGGCCGATTCTAAGAGGCCTATTTTCGCACAAAAAAAGGCAACAAGTTGAATGATAAAGCTATTAATTTTAAACTTGCATATTACTCAAAATAAAAAGCAACTTGCATAATAAGTAGAACTTGCAAATTATATATATATATATATATATATATATATATATATATATATATATATTATATATATATATATATATATATATATATATATATATATATATATATTATATATATATATATATATATATATATATATATATATATATATATATATATATATATATATATAATAATAATAACTGTTTTAGAAAGTTAATAAATACTAAAAAAGCTGAATCATATCATGGTTAACAAGTGTGTTGCATATGGTTGTAAAACTGGATACAACAGTTCTTTAGAAGATAAAAAAATTGCTTCTTTTCATTTTCCGTTAAAAAATCAACAGTTACTGAATTATTGGGTTCATTTTGTTAATCGTACTGATTGGGTGCCTTCACCAAACTCCGTTTTGTGTGAAAAGCATTTTAATGAAAAGTTTATCATCCGTGGTAAAAAATGCAAGTTAAATTGGAATCTAGATCCTATTCCTGAAATTTTCTCCAGTGATTGCTTAAAACGTCCTTCCACATTACCATCGCTTATTGCTTTGAGAAGACCTCCTAAAAGTCGTATTTTTCAAGAAGATGAACTAAGTTCTTTTTCTGAAAACGATAAAGTTACTGAATGGACCATGCTAAGTATTAAACATTCACCAGAAGGTTTCAAATTTAAAAAACATCTCAATTGTGTAGTTTATTATAATTTAATATTTGATCCTATAACATTTTTTCCATCAATTCTTGAATCAATAAAAATTGATTATTGCTTATGTGTAGCTTTGCAATATAAAGGTAAAATGTTCCACTTCCTCCATGGTTATGTAAAGGTTGTAATTCTAAATTAACTAGTTTGAGTATGTTAGAAAATCTTGCAGCGTACATAAAAAATACCGCTTCTTCTAATAGAAATATACTTCTTGATGAAATAAATAGTCGAACATACTATAAAGCCAAGGGTCAACCACAATATTCTGCTGATATGATTAGACTTGCTCTATTATTAAGATATACATCTAAACAAGCATATGAAATTTTACTAGAATCATTTCCATTACCTTCAATTTCTTTGTTAAATGAAATAAAACAAGGTGGAGTTGATGCAATTAAGGCTGTTAAAACACTTCGTGAGAAAGGTTCAATACATGAAGATGTAATATTAATTGTAGATGAATTTTATCTTCAGAAACAAGCACAATATTGTAGTGGTATTTATGTGGGTGCAGATGATACAGGTACTTTGTACAAAGGAGTTGTTGCATTTATGATAGTTTAAAAAAATCAATTCCTTTCATTATTAAAGCGATACCTGAAGTTAACATACTTATGTTAACTTCAGGTATCGCTTTAATAATGAAAGGAATTGGTAAATGGCTTTCAGATCAAGTATCCGATTCTATTAGTTCTCTTTCGCTATCTGGTTTTAAAATTCGAGGTGTTGTTACCGATAATCATAAATCGAATGTAAGTGCATTTAGTTTGCTTCGTTCCAAATTTGGTAATCAATCAAATTTCTCTATTAATCATCCTGATAGTCCAAATTCTAAAATATACTTATTTTATGATAGTGTTCATCTTGTTAAAAATATCAGAAATAATTTATTACACTGTAAAAAATTTGACTTTCCATCCTTTACATTTAATATAAAAGATGATTCTAATAATTTTCCAGCTGGTTATATTACTTGGGGAGATTTTCATCATCTACATTCTAAAGATGAGAAACTTCAAGGCAATTTACGAAAAGCTCCAAAAATTTCATATCAGAGTCTTCACCCTGGTAACAAAAAGCAAAACAGTTCTCTTGCACTATCAATTTTTGATGAAACAACAATTGCAGGTTTCAAGAGTTATTTTCCAGAACGTAAAGACATTTCTGGTTTTCTTACAATTTTTCACAAATGGTGGACTATTTCAAATTCTAAAGAGCGATTTAGCCCAAATAAACTTGGTAATGCGATTATTCTTAATGATGGTAAAACAACTTTTTTGTCGACAATTAGCTAAT